ACAATCAATAGATCACAGAGGAAATTAAAGAAGAAATCAGACAGTTTTTACAAATAAATGAAAATGCCAGTACAACATACAGGAATCTATGGGACACAATGAAAGCAGTTCTATGTGGAAAATTCATAGCACTGAATGTCCACATTAGGAAAACAGAGCAAGCTCAAATAACCTAACGATGACTCTTAGACTCCTAGAAAAACAAGAGCAAGAAAAACCCAAAGCTCGAACAAGAGAGGAAATTATAAAGATTAGAGCAGAATTCAAAGCAATGGAAATGAAGAACGATACAAAAAAATAAATGAATCAAAGAGTTGGTTTTTTTGAAAGAATAAATAAAATTGATAAACCCTTAGCAAACCTTATCAAAAAAAGGAAAGAAAAGGCTCAGATTCATGCAATCAGGAAGGAAAAAGGCGAAGTCACAATAGATCCCACAGAAATCCAGAGGATCGTTAATACATACTGTGTAAACCTGTACTCTAATAAAATAGAAAACACAGAAGAAATGGACAGATTTCTAGATACTTATGAATTACCAAAGTTGAACGAAGAAGATAAAAATATTTTAAACACCCCATTCACAATCAGTGAAATTGAAAATGCAGTTAAAAACTTACCAACAAAGAAAGGCCCAGGTCCTGATAGATTCACTGCTGAATTTTACAAGACATTTAGAGAAGATCTACTGCCATTACTCTTCAGACTTTTCAATGAAATTGAAAGAGAAGCAATAGTTCCAAATTCATTCCTGGAAGCAAATATCACTTTGATTCCCAAGCCTGGGAAAGATGTAACTAAAAAAGAGAACTACAGGCCAATCTCCTTAATGAATATAGATGCAAAAATCCTCAATAACATACTAGCAAACAGAATACAGAGGATCATCAAGAAGATCATACATCCTGACCAAGTCGGATTAATTCCAGGGATGCAAGGATGGTTCAACATATGTAAATCAATAAATATAATACACTATATTAACAAAGTCAAGGACAAGAATCGCATGATACTCTCAATAGACGCAGAAAAAGCATTTGACAAAACTCAACAGCCATTCATGATTAAAAACTCTGCAAAAAATTGGAATAGATGGTCTATGTCTCAACTTAATAAAGGCTATTTATGACAAACCAACAGCTAACATTATATTAAATGGCCAAAAACTGAAAACCTTCATGTTAAAATCAGGAACAAGACAAGGATGCCCACTATCACCACTCCTCTTCGATATAGTTCTGGAAACATTAGCCATAGCAATTAGACAAGAGAAAGAAATTAAAGCAATAAAGATAGGAAAGGAAGAAGTTAAATTGTCATTATTTGCTGATGATATGATACTCTACATGGAAGACCCAAAAAACTCCACCAAAAGACTTCTCGACTTAATTGACACTTTTAGCAGAGTAGCTGGATACAAGGTCAACACCCAAAAATCAATAGCCTTCTTGTACACAAATAACAGACTCACTGAGAAAGAAATTAGGTAAGCAATTCCTTTCACAATAGCACCCAAAAAAATGAAGTATCTGGGAATCAATCTAACAAAAGAAGCAAAAGACCTCCACACTGAAAACAACAGCACTCTGAAAAAAGAGATGTAGGAGACTATAAGAAAATGGAAAGATCTCCCCTGCTCCTGGGTAGGAAGAATCAACATAGTGAAAATGGCCATACTACCAAAACTGCTATACAGATTCAATGCAATATCAATTGAAATCCCAACACTATACTTCACAGAACTAGAAAGAAGAATAAAAAAATTCATTTGGAACCAGAAGAGACCTAGAATAGCAAAAGCCATCCTAGGCAACAGACACATGGCAGCGGGTATAACAATTCCCAATTTGAAACTATACTATAAAGCCACTGTGATAAAAACAGCATGGTACTGGCAAAGAAACAGACCTGAGGATCAGTGGAACAGATTGGAAGACACAAAAACAACTCCAGATGCATTCAGCTACCTCATCTTTGACAAAGGAGCTGCCAGTCCCCACTGGAGGAACGATAGCCATTATGAATGAATCTAATTTCTCATTCTTTATGGCTGAGTAATATTCCATTTTATAGAAAAACCACATCTTCTTTTTTTTTTTTTTTTTTTTTTTTTTTTTTTTTTTGGTACTGGGGATTGAACTTGGGTCCTTGCACTTGCTAGGCAGGCCACTGAACCGCTGAGCTAAATCCCTGGCCC